CAAATGGGGAGATAAGATTCTGTGTAGACTAGAGACAACTAAATAGGGAAGCCAGATTTGATGGCTATCCAATGCCTTGAGTAGATGATCTCCTGGATGGACTAGATGGTGCCGAATATTTATCCTCGTTGGATCTAACAAAGGGATATTGGCAGATTCCACTGGACGGCCAATCCAAGGAGGAAACAGCATTTGCCACACCACATGGACTGTTCCAACTCAACCATATGCCATTTGGTTTGCATGGAACATCTGCAACCTTTCAGAGGCTAATGGATCAAATATTACCAGGAAGGGACAAGTGGTGTGCAGCTTACTTAGACAACATCCTCATATACAGTAAATCCTGGAAAGAACATCTTGAGCATATAGGATTAGTGTTGGATAGTCTAAAAAAGGCTGGTCTACATAAAAATCCCGAAAAGTGTCATTTGGGTTTTTGGGAACTCCGTGATTTGGGATTTATTGTTGGAAAAAAAGAAGTTAAACTGGAACAAGGAAAAGTGGAAACTTTATAGAAAGTAGAACCTCCAAAAACTAAGAAGGAGGTTAGATCACTCCTGGGATTAGCTGGATATTACCAACGATTCATACCACATTTTTCCACAATAGCACAACCTCTAACAGACCTTACAAAAAAGACAGAATCTGCCAAAATAAGGTGGACAGAAAAATGTCAGGAGGCCTTCAAAAAAATAAAACAAGCCTTATGTGATAAACCAATATTACACAGTCCAGACTTTAATCAGCCATTTGAATTACAAGTGGATGCTTCTAATGTAGGATTGGGTGGGGTACTCGTACAAAATTATGATGGAGTGGCCCATCCTATCAGTTATATCTTGAAAAAGTTACTCCCTTGAGAGAAAAAATATAGTACCATCAAGAAGGAAGCGTATGCCATCAAATTGGCTATTGAAACCTTTCAAATCTACTTATGGGGTAGAGAGTTTACAGTAATCACAGACCACCAGCCTCTGAAGTGGCTCCAACAGATGAAGGATATAAATCCAAGACTGACATGGTGGTATCTTTCATTACAGCCTTATAAATTCAGCATTACCCATAAAGCAGGACAGCAGAACAAAACTGCGGACTTCCTCTTAAGATTCGGGGAAGATACTGAACTTGCCCTCACCTCCTAAGAAGTGAAGGAAAAAAAGAGAGCAAAGACAAAAGAAGGGGAAAAAAACAGCCCATATATATGTTTTTTTAAATATATATATATATATGTAAATAAATAAATATAAATAAATAAATAAAGGAGGGAGGTATGTGGAAGGATGGGTTGTAAAAAGAGTGCAGGCAACTGGAAATTGCATACCTTCCCCTTTATTTCTAAAGCACCTCAGCGTCCAGATGGGGGAGAGACTGTTTAAAAACCCGTTTCAAACAGCTGGGTGTGGTAGTCTGCTGGGTGTGTAGAGGAGAGGCAGAAGGAAGCGAGAGAGAGCAGTAGTCAAGGTTTGTGGAAAGGCCAGGAGCATTGGTACCTGGGAATAGTAATAGATATTCTAGGCATAGCAGTAGTGCTTAATAGTT